GAAAAAGGCGACAAAACACCCCCCCCCCCCCCCCCCCCCAACAATGGTAATTTGGAGTGGAACAGAGCTGCCCTATTGACAAGGGTGACCAGACTTCTGTAGAGATTTGCTTTGTCCTCATGGGAACAGAGAAACCTTGCAGACTTGTTAGAGCAAAGCATCCTAAGAATAGGGGTACAAGAGCATGTACAGTGTATCAGGTGAGTAAACTTCATGAATGCCGCTGTTTGTTTATGGTCCATTAGTTAGCTTTTTTGAGTTTGGGGTTTTTCTGATTTTTGTTGTATATGATTTTAATAATATAATGAATTTTATTTAGGTATCGGACTCCTCCAGGACTCCTTTGCTACAAGGTGTGATTATGGCCTTCTTTTAATGCAATTTTATTAATCATCTTATGGTTTCTTTTTTCCCCTCTGCTTCCTCTTTTCATTCCTTTTTGCATCTATCTTTGTAATTTTCCTGAGTAATTCAATAGAAGAGGGTAGAAGTGAAGACAAACTATAAATATGTTTTTATTCTTAGGTGAGGTTTTTTTTCCTGTTTCTTTAAAGGAATACAGGAAAACTTTATATTTAAAGTACCAATGGAGCCACGATTCCTAAGCCTGCAGGCAGGCTTTGTATGCCTCTAATTTCCCAAATCTCTAGGAGTGTCTTCAAATATTTAGAATGGGTGTTAGTTCCTCTACTGTTAACCTATATGGAAGTCCTTCACCTAATTTTTCTGTGCCACTGTGTTGATGTGAAAACCTGCTTAGTGCTAAACAACAATTTTGTTGTCGTCTGTTATAATGTTTGGTATTGTAGTTTGCATTTAGTAATCATGTCTACAGTCCCTCTATCATCTTATTACTTGACAGTATACTTTATCCCGTACTGTCTGCAGTGCTTGCAGTGGGATAGGGAGCAAGGATTTGGACCAGCTTTTGTGGTCTTGCTGTTGCACAGCATCTAGACTGCAGCAGGAAGGTTTAACCTTACTAGGCTATAGCTCATGACTGCTAACACTGATGCTATTTATTTTAACTGTTTCCTGTCTCAAGCACAGCATGGAGAGAGCAATGCAGGCTTTCAAATTTCAACTTCTTGCATTTAAGCATTTAAATATAATCTTGAATTTTAGTCAGCAGTCTAGAGTTACACATCTATTTATAAAGCGTAGCTTGTCTGCCCTATATGCTGAAGACAATTTGAGATGGTGAACTCTATGTCTTAAATTCTGAACTAAAAAGTACTTTTCTTACTAGCTCCTTTCCTCAAAGAGTACTTAAACAATTTAAGTCTCATTAAAAAGCCTTAATAATAAAGAAATTGGATACAAACCCAAGAAGAGGCTAGGAAGTGGGAGGGGCTGAGTGCAAATTAAAATCAGATGGCCATACTGTATTTTTATAACTTAAAATTCTTCTGTCCTGCTGTGTGCACTCAAGTTCTTGGATAGGATTGTTAAAATCAGTTTTTTTCAGTTTCTACTTTATACATGTGGGTGATACTTGACTCCCTAAGATAGCTCTGAGGTCCCATAATTTTTAGGTGAGGCCATTTTTGTTTCTGCATAATGATGCAGTTTTAAGTTCTAGTTATGCTGTGTGGCTTTTTTATGGAGTAGCCTTGAGCTGTAATGAGTTGCTGCACAGAAGAACATTTTGACTATTCACTGAAGCACAGGGATTTCTAGGGAGAGTAAAGTACCTACTTTCCCTACCACTAAATGGGCGGTATAGCTGCTGTGAAGTGTGTAATAAAGGTTTTTCTGGGTTTTCTGGATTGCTTATACTCCTCATGTATGCCTGCATGATAAACTAATTTGATATGTATTTCCCAGTTACTGATTTAATTTAGAAATACGATTTGTTTTTTGTATGAGTACAATCTATGAAATCATTTTAGTAACATCCTGAAAAATCTAGTGGACTAATGCAACTTTGAAATCTTCTAGATAGAATAGTCTTGCAACTTTTTAGTTGGTCAATTTGAAGTGTTTAGCAAGCTTTCTTATCTCTCTTTGAAATAACAAATCAACAGATTTGTCAGTAGCATGTTACACAGCATGCACCTGCTGTTTAGTACTTAATTTTAAATCACATTTTTAGACACTTGCAAACTAATCATATCTATAAGTTGTTAAGAGTTTTGTGAATGCAGCATCATAATGAGTGAATCTTGCAGGCAAGTGTGCATAGGTATTACGTGCTCTTTCACAGGCAGGAGTTTGTATTGCCATTTCTAGTTTGGCTCTGTGTGTGGTTTTCGGGGGTTTGGTTGGGTTTTTTTGTTTTTAATAGTTCGCCATGTTAGGAACTAAACATAAGTAACTGAAATACATTTATGTTTAACCTATCTTGACACCCCCCACCCACCCTTAAAAACTGTCAGAAATTCAGATGTGGGAGAAAAGCTTCTGAATCTTTTCCACTTTAAAAATGTTCATCAGCTCTCCACAATGTACGGTCTGATTGCTTTGTCTCTTTGGAGGCTTTAAACAATAAGTTTGTCCAGGATTTTAGCACAGTGCCTTCATCTTGCTGCTGGTTGTTGCAAAGATTCCTGCAGCTGCTGCTGAGGCTTTGAGGATAGGGTTGTCCTGAGAGAACCTACAACTGAGGTACACTTGTGGAAAAAGATGCTTAATGCAATCTTACATGTTCAGAAAGGCATCTGTTGTCCCTGACTTCAAGTTGTGGGCTATCCTTCTTCTAGAGGGTGGACAGATTAGAAATTGGGTGGGGTGGCTTTTTTTTTTTGGCTTTGTAACATCTATGTATATCAAAAAACCCAAACACCCTTTATGCTCTAGTAGCCATTTTGGTTTTAAAGTTAACTTAAAAATCTGATACATTAAGCAGAGACTTTAAATACAGGTGGTATCTCCAGCGTAGGTACATTTTTTGCTACTTACCTTGTTGTAGGATTCAGAGAAGAATCTTTGAGTTTGGGATACACTGAATTGTTGCAAATAGTGTCAACTCTTCCTTCTGGAAGCATCTTGTCTATTTGATAGGGAAACATTTTACAAAAATGCTTACCAAAACTACCTTCTCTATGCCAGCTGTTAGATGATTCTCCCTAGGATGAAGGAAGATACATGGCATTACTTGATGCAATGTGGTCTGTGTGGGGGTTTTTTGTTGGTTTTTTTTCACATCAATCCTCATTCAAAGTGACTGTTTGACTTCTGTAATTGTAGGGAGTGTTTTGCTTTGGGTGACTTTTGATGTGGGTTTTTGCTCACAGTGTAGGGGCAAAGTTCTAGGTATACTGAAGTGAATGCAAGATTGTCATTAGCACGGGAGCTTGGTATTCACTGAGCGGGTGCTATTGCTATAACTCAGTTGTTAGGTGTATTGGCAAGACTAGTGTCTGCCTTCATTCTTATTGTCTTAATTCTGACATATGAAGGGAGAGATGTGAAAGACCTTTTCTGGTTTTAGTCACATTGATACTGTGGCCACTAGGCTCTCCTAAGCTCTACCAAGTCCCAGGGACTTGTTTCTGCCTTGGAACTGTCATCTCAATTTACTGCAAGGCATGTTGGTGCATCTGGATTGGGAAACAGCTTGTTTAAGCAAACCTGCTTTTAATAAGGCATGTTTGTGTACCTTGCAATCAAACAACTCTGTTGGCATAAAAGAAGGTATGGCACAGAGGTGGGTCATAGCTAGAGAAGAAGAGAGAAGTTAATGGAACTACTCTCTTTGCCCTATATATAGAATTATAGCATGCTAAAGTGTGTATGACACAACAGTATCAGAGCCTGGCTTTGTCTTGCAAAGGATCCTGCAGCGGGTGCTAGTAAGACAAGAAAGCAGTTGTGTCCTCATCATGTGGAAATCTGCCCAGCTTAGAACCCACACGGTGAGCAGCTGTTTTACAGAAAGACAAGGAGCCTTTTTACTACTAGGTGGGGATATGCCACTATGGAAGAATTTATGCAGGGGTTTCTACCTTTTGATGCTGAAAGCATTATGCCCTTGTCCTAATAATCCTGCCACACTGGGCATATTAGCTCCTTGAGACATTCTGTTTTTCAGCATTAGTTTTACTACTTTTATATCTTTTGTCTCTGGTTGTCAGCTATCAAAACTGTCCAATCCTTGGCCTCTTGTTAATTATGCTTAATTCCGAAGCCCTCAAACTTTTGGGTCTCAGTTTGTCATGCTAACAAACGTGTGTATTACGTCTGTAATGTATTCAATGCCTTGTCCCAGTGAGGAAGCCAGAGCCTTCATTGCCCTCTAGCAATACAGCAGTAGATAGGGAAACAGGCTGCTTTTTAGTCAGGAAAAGTAGAATATTGTCTTGTGTTACTCAGGTGACCTAATCAGTTAATTGGAAAGTATAATCAGTCTATATAATAATCTGGTTTAGATTCTCTTCTGTTGCAGGACTTTACAATTCCATTTCCTTTATCCTTTTCAAAATAAAAGGAAAATTTACAAACAAATGCTGCCAATACAGTTAGGTTTGCTGACTGTAATATAGCTAGCCTTTACAGTCAGGGAAAGAGAAAGCTAGTCTTTTATATTCAGACTATCGCTTGCTACCTGTAAATGTTAGGTAGGATCCTAAGATCTATTTCCAGTTCTGCAAACCATGTCTTTGAATAATTTGCTTAACCCCAAATGTTTTTTTTGTTCTCAGTATTTAATAGTTGAGACACTTTTGACTCATAAGGTTAATTCCTTGTAGAGGTCTTGGATCTTTAGTTGGAGAATGCTTTTGTAGTGGAAAGCATTAGCTAAGAGAGCTTTGGTTATTTGGCTTGAATACTTTTCTGATCTATAGAGGACTTCCTATCTTCTGCTAAAATGCACTCTAACACATGTTTAATTATATTTCTCTTAGCTAACAAATACTTTGGACCAATGGGGGAAAAGCAGTACTTCTTTGTAAAGAGCCATCTCTTTTTTTTCTTTTTTTTTTTTTTCTTTTTACATTTAGATGATGGAACACCTGGATTACCCAGGAAATGAAGAAAGCACAGTATCAGCCAGTGAACAGCCTGGAGGACAATAATGTGTAGGATCCTGATTTAAAATAGTATTCAAATTTTCTACAAATTAATTACAGTAAATTTGGTGAAGTTTTACAATAGAGTATTTCCTACTCTGTAAAATGGTTTTTTACTCCTGCACCTATATTTTTATGGAAAATATTGTTAATAACAGAAAAGTAATCAAAATAGACTTGCATTTTTACAGCCAAACCATAGCTAGTAAAACCGTGCCTTATTTCAATTTAAATAAAAGGATATTTTCTATGCAATTTTCCAAATGTGTTTCTATACAGTATATTTTTATAAGTTGCTTGCCCATATCAGTTTGATGCATTAAATGTTCTCTTAATTTTGATTAAGACTAGTCACATTTAAAAAAGTACAGTACCCTTCATAGGATTTCTTTCCAGATTTTGAATGCAAAGATTGATAGTAGTATAACTATAGCAACTAAAGAATGAAACTATAGTTCCATTACTACAACTAATTGAATAAACAGTGTGTATGTTAGTCTATGTACATTCTAAGCCATAAAATAGATAACAGGGCAAATTTAGCTTGGGGTTGTGAGCCCCCCCCGCCCTGCCCCGTAGTATCACTGGCTTATGCCTTAACTGTGAAAACTGTTAAGCTTTGATGCAAGTCTTTGGATTATATATATCGCCAACCATTTCCAAAAAAATAAAAGGGGGGAGGTACTTATACAGTGGTCCTGGAAACTTCAGTGCAGCTCCTGGAATAGTTGACAAACAAGATGGTGTGAAAGGCAAGAGAGTTTTTGCTGAAGGAGTGCTATTTGGGAGGGTGGGGTGAAATGTTAACTCTGGCCTGGTTCTTCTTCTACCCATTGAGACTAGGTCTGTATTTGTGGTCTTCATTTGGCTGTGGATCAATTCAAAGGGGTGGTGGAAGACAGGACAGATTTTTTTAGCTTTTGCATCTACACCGTACTTTTTTTTTAAACTGTTTTTGAAAATTCTTTGCAATTGATAGACAAAACAACAGGTTTGAATAGTGCTAGTAGTGCCTGTGTTAGTTATAGGCCAATGCATGTGTTTAACTTGTTTAATCTTAATTTGTTTTAGCTTTTAAAAACTTGGAAAAGGAAAAATAGTTTAAATCATTAGTTGGCATTTAGAAGAGTTTGAGTTTGTTTGACACTTCCTTTTTTTCAGGAAACTGCTAACTGAGGGGGATTAGGCATAGAAAATTTGTATAGCTGTAATGCTAACACTTTACACCAAAGAAAATTGGAGAAGGCAGCAACAGGAAACCACTGAGTTCACTTAATGACTACCTGACATTAGCACTAAAACATTTTTCTTATTCTTTAAATGAATGTCATACCTATAGTCAGTACAAGTTCAAGAACCCTGGAGGAAACAACCGAATAAGCACATGCTGGGCAATGGCAATGCAGGCTTTCCTGCAGTGCCTCATGTAAGTGCCTCGGTGTTTGTCTGAAGGTCACCTCTAGACATTTATAGTTAGTTTGGGGCGTGTCGGCTCAGGAAAATTTACCCAGATTAAATCTAGTGTAGCTAGATTTACTTTGGAAGTATGCTAATTAAGACAATTGTAAATCTGTATTGGCAGTTAACAAAGGTTTACTGCAAATTTGCCACTTTACGTAATTATATCAAATTTGAACTCTTGTTCACGAGAGTCAGGAGCAGACACACTTACAGCCTGAGTATCAGTTCTTGCTGTTCACACAGATTGACTGCGGTGCCAGTTTATATGGGTAAGATAACCACCTTGTTTTTCCGTAAGAAAACAGAAATTACAAAAGTTTTTGTATGTTAATAGTTGCCCCTCTTGACTTTCTTGACCTCAGCTTGAACTGACAGCCTCAGAATACAATGTTCTTGTGCACCATGTTAAATTTTTATTTGACTGGAACTTCAGTAAATTACAGTATACCTCAGCGTTCCAATAGCAGACTGAAAATTTGTCTTCTGATGTGTTGTCATGCTCTTCAACAAGCCCAGTATCTGCCAAAGTTAGATGGCTATGAAGTTTCTGAAAATTCCTGAAAGAGATAAAGAAGTCATAACTCAAAGTCATGCACTACTCAAAGCCCTCAGAAGCTTCACAAATCTATGTAATATGACTCCTTTTTCTCTTTGAAATCTTCTGCATGGAGGATTTATTACACCTTCAGCTATAAATGATAATTGAATTAGTATAAATAAAGATGACCTTTGGTAACAAGTGTATTCAGCAGCTGGCTGTGGAAACTCTGTCTTGTTCTGTGCCTAATTATGCTCCATGCCTGATCATGCCTGAGGTTTCACACACATGTGCTGCAGTTTAATGGGATGTAAACTAACTTTTTTTCAAATGCTTAGGTGCTTTGTTTACAAAAATTAAGAGTGGAGTTTAAAATTTTATATAAATAATAGGTTAGTATTGACTACTGAAATGAGGTTTTTATAAGTTCAATAGAACTGATTGCAACACTTAGCAATTTTGAATGTTTTTAGTAGTAAATTTGGTTGGGCTAAACACTACGTTAAAAGCCTTTTTAGTCATACTTTAATATAAAAATCTTACTACCTTTTCATTGTATGTTTACTGACAACAGCCCCCTTCCTTATGACTCTTAAGTTATCACTTTAAGAATGTTATTAATAAATATTACTTGGAAAAAAAATAGTTAAGTAATTGCTTTGTTCTGACTCGTCTTTTTTCTTACTGTGAACATTCATGGCAAAACAGTTAACACTTCATAATACCAAGTAAATTAAAAATTCATGATACACCTCCATAAATATGTAGTTGCAGTTTTTATACATCCTGTCTGATGTATCAAAGTTATGAGTCTGTTTGTAAATACCTTTGTGGTGGTTTTGGTGGGTTGCCCCCCCCCCCCCTTTTTTTTTTTTTTTCAGGGGCAGGGGAAGAACTGAAGTCTGTGAATTGAGCTACATCAATTTTACTGGTCTAACTCAGCAAAATGCTTGTTGCACAGCTGTTAGTCATGGGGCACTGTGAGAGTATACCTGACAAACAGTGAGCTGGAAATTTAACATGTGCAAATTTCCTGATGGTAACAAGCTTACTTGCATTCAGCCTAGGAAATAGGGCTGTAGAAGCATTGTTCACCTGAATGTACTTTGCCTTAGACATGAAGGGCAAGAAAAAGCCAAGCTTCAGTCTTGAAACCCAGGCTTGGGTTGGAAATGTTGGCAGGGAAAAAAAGAAAATTACTGAACCTGAATATACTTGGTATGTGATCCTTGTTACATCCCTAGAACCCTGTGATAGTGTGTTTGTATTTAAAATGTTTGTAAGTATTTTAAGCCTCTTCTGCTCATACACTGGAGGTTCCAGTAGCATTGAGTCACAGTAACTGAGTACTTAACTGGGAGAAAACTCTCCAAAATGCTCTTTGAATTTATGTATTTTAAAAAGTAGAGAAGTTAAGAATAGATATAGCTGCAATCAGCAAACTTGTTTGTCACTGTCTGTTCCCCATGCATTCTTGTTAAGGCTGGTGCATTTGATACTTTAGCAAAAGTGCAAATCTCAGAGGCTTCAAAATTGCAAGCAGAAGAGAGGCATTTTCTTCTAAGGAAGAGGGTTACCATTATTAGTTAACAAGTGCTTGCCTATTTAGATTGATCCAATCTTTACAATACAATTCCGTTTAGACGTAAGAAAAAGCTTTTCACCGTGAGTGTGGTCAAACACTGGAGCAGGTTGCTCAGAGGGGTTGTGGAATTTCCATCCTTGGAGATACTCAAAATACAAGTGGATGCAGGCCTGGCAGCCTGCAGTGGGGCTGGACTAGGCAATCTACAGCGGAGCATTCCAGCTCTACTGCTCTGATTATTAAGGCATTGTTATGCTTGTTTTCCAGCTTGAATAATCTGCATATTTTTTTTCGTCATAGAAAAACTCCAGTTTGATCACCACAACATGGGTCTGATTTTTCACTTGGAATAATTTACTTCTACTAAACTGTTAGATTTAAGCATATTTAAAAGTTGTCTTTAGATTTGTAATGCTTTCAGAAGCACTGTTTTATTTTCAGATAGCCTATATGGCACATCTTACTGTGAATGATTTATCTTTCTAATTTTTGAGGAAAGGAAGAGGAGAGCAATTCAGACTGTTATCCCCTTTGTCAGAAGCGAGTGATCAAAGTTCAAGGTTTTGTGTTCTTCAGAGAAGCTGATGATGGAGGCTCAGGTATCTCTGGAATCCCTCTTAAAGAATGTGCAAGATCCTGTTTCCCTGAACACAGAGGGCATCAAATAGCCGAGAACAGTTTTTTTGCTTGCAGCTCAAAGACCTTTTAACCAAGAAAGTGTTTAGATCAAAAGAGCTCCTTTCAGCTTTTTCTTAAGAGTGTGCTCACAGGTATTCTGCTATCTGGTTTTCTGTTCCCTCTCCTTGCTCGTGCACATATTCACCTCCTTTCTTTCCTCCTCTTTTCTATTTGGGGCAATACCAGCATGTTTTAAAGTGCATTTGCACATTACTTTGTCTTGGAGAATAATATTTGCCTCTGTTCTGGTGTGGAGACCAGTGTTTATGAGGAGGTTTAATCTTTTGGACCCTCTTAAATGCAGCAGTCATGCCCACCAGCTCAATCCACCAGTAACAGTAATTTAAAACAGTAGCTCATGTTCTGCACATCCTTATCTGTGTTACAGTCCCACTGACTTTCTGGGGTTGCATTGAAGTTGGTGCAACAGCCTGGCTTAGATTTGAAAAACAAAAAAAGTAAGGGAAGTTTTTTTACAGTTTTATCAGAGGCTGAAATGTGCTGGTGGTGGCTCTCCCTGTGTTTTGCAGAAAGGCTACCAGAATACATCAACTTCTGTATTGGGAATACAAGGAAATACAACAGGTATCAAAACACTTAAAAGTTCAACAGTAACTCAGTTACTTTAATTTCAACCTTTGTTGTGATGTGTCCCTATCAAAGCTAGAAGAAAAGTGGGGTCCTTTTAATTGACCTTTCTTTCAAAAGGTAACGGAGACTATGCTGGGAAATTGATCGATCCTTGTGGATTTAATGCAACTAACTGCAGAAAATTAGCAAATGGGTGTTTCTCTGGTAGGTAAGTATTTCTCTGGTAGCTGATTTTAAAAAAATTTAAAAGTAAATTTACTTTATAGTAACAATGGAAAAAAGAGCAAATGCATGCCCATTGGTAGCTTTTTCTCTAAGAAATGGAGCAGCAAGCCTCTGCAGGACAAAGTGACACTTTTGTCCAGGGTCACTGTCAAATAAGAATTCAAAGTTGGACAATTAAGACTGGTCTTGTATAGGCTTACCTAAAATTTTACCTTTTGAATACAAGGTACCTATCCCTGGATTTAAAAAGAAAAAAAAAAAAATCAAGAAATGGAGCTCTGTAAGGATACCTGTGAACTTGTTTCTGATTTCACAAATTCAGGAAGCAGTTGGTTTGACCTGCTGCCCTGTTCTTGCAAAGCAATTTCTTTAGACTGTAGCTGGCATTGCCTGCTACTGCTGCCTGACTGCACGGAGAAGCAGCACCTCTGGCTGCTGGTGCTTTCCC